GGCTATGGATCCTTCTCTTCCTTGCTTGCCAAAAAATTTTAAAATCATGAATGGGTTTGGAATACTATCAAGTGTTTTCCCTGTATCTACAGAGATGATCATTTGAATTTTTTTCTCTCTAATTTTATCAATGTAGTGAACCACACTGATTTTTAAATGCTAAATCAACTTGCAACTCTAGGAATAAATTCAGTTTAGTCATGATGTTTTATCAACTCTGTGTATTACTAGGATTTGACTCCCCCAAATTTTAAGATTTTTATATCTATTTTCATTAAAAAAAAATACTGATCTATAATATTGCTTTTGTATAATGTCCTTGTTAAACTTTGTTATCAAAATTAAACTGGGCTCATATAATAAAAACAGAGGAAGTATTCAAACTGTTTCTACTTCCTGTTAGAGGTAATGTATTATTTCTTCTTTAAATGTGTGGAAAAATTTACCAGTGAGGCCACAAGAGTCTGAATTTCTAAATGAAAAGGTTTGTAATTACAGATTCACTTTCTTTTCTAGATACTGGCTTATGTAGATTTTCTAATCTAACTTTTGTCTCTATGGATTTCCCTATTCTAGAAATTTGATGTAAATGAAATCATATATACAGGTGGCCTTTTGCACACTGCCTCCTTCACTTAGAATGTTCTCAAGGTTCATCCATGTTGTAGCAGGTGTCAATACTTCATTCCTTTTTACGGCAGAATTATATTCCATCATACAAATATATGACATCTTGTTTATTGATTTATCAAGTTGATGGACATATGGGCTGTTTCTACTTTTTGGATTCTACGAATAATGTGTACATTAGTGAACAAGATTTTACAGGGACCTATGTTCTCAATTCTCTTGTATGCATATGTACGAGTGGAACTGATGGGTCATATGGTAATTCTATTTTTAACTGTTTGAGGAACTGCCTGCTTTCCAGATCAGCTGCACCGTTTTATATTTCTACCAGCAATGCACAAAGGCTCCAATTTCTCCACACCCCTGCCAATACCTGTCATTGTCCACCTATAAAATTATTATTTATAATTATTTTCAAGTTTAGACATTCTCTGTCCTCAAGTTATGTTGTGAGTGTGGTTTGTGTATAGATTTCTTTCACCCATCTTGTAGATCTACATTGTATTTGGAGAAAATATTGGGAGAGAGGTAGCTAAGTAGATGTTACTGTCTTCAGCTACACAGAAGCTAGATTTAAAAGTTAAATTAAAATAACAAACTAGTAAAATTCTACAAAGCAATACATGTTAAGCCAAATAATTTTGTTATGGGGAGGGTCTTTTAAAAGCATGACCTCAAGTCCAAAAGTCTAAGAACAAACTTGACAGATCCCCACCCCCAAAAAATTGTAACTGTGATAAAATGCCTTTTATACATAAGGTTGAAGAGAATGATAATTTATAGCCTTTTATTAAAAAATGGCTCATTTACCAATAAAAAACTCTTATGAAAGGAATAATCCAAGTAGAAGAATGAGCAAGAGATAAGAATAATAAGAAAAATTCCCTTCATAACATATGAGAATATGCATAACCTCACCATACCAAATGAAGTTAAAACAAGATTACTATAGAACATGTCAGATTAAGATGACTAACATATCAGGTGATCAAGAGAGTGTTCAGAAAAAGGCATTCCAAATCACCAGTGGAGGTATTCAAATCTGTACAAATAAAAACATAATAAAACCATTTAATACACTCAGACCAACCATTTTTAGGATTTCTGAAAATTTTATCTATTCTGGATTTTCTCCTATAACTCATAAAGCATTTTAAACTATGCTGTATCATCAATAAAGTTTTGGAATTTAAAAACTACCAACCATAAATATATATACTTGATGTGACTTATGACTTTTTATTTTATATATACACTTTTTTCTCAAACATTTGGGAATGAATTGGAGATAAAGTGATTCTTGACCCCAAAATGTGTCAACATGTATTCCCTAAGAAGAAGGACTTTGTCTTATGTAACTACAGTACTTATCAAAATAGGAGAATTTGAAATTCTCTAATCTGGAGTCCATAGTCACGTACCATCAATCGCACCAACAATGTCATTCATAGCTAACTCCCATGCTAGCATTTGCCACGTTTTCCCACCAGAAATTTAGTAATTCTTCCCTTCAAAAATGATTTGTGGGGAAATACTTTGAGACCTCATAAGTATTCTGTTCCTCATCAAACATTCATCCCCAAGTTTTAGCATTCATTAATCATTTTCTAACTTGACCATCCCTTCCAAATTTATTAGTTGGCATTCTACTGTCAGGAAGAGCTTTCCCTTCTCCCCAATTCATGCATTCATTTATTTATTAGGACTTATATAAATTCCTATATTATACAGGGGGATACCATCAATTGTTGTGAATTTGTATCTGGAGTCTCACATTGTGCCAGATTTGGCCATGGGAATCCCGTCAACTTGGCTCCTGTGTCCTTTTGCTGGGTCCCTATAATTCTCTCAATACTTCCTTACTTGGTGAGGTACATGATGAAAATATATCTTGCTAGGGAGGTGGGTTGTAAGGGTTATGCATTTGTTAAATCATCAAATTTTATATTTAAAGTTTATTTATGTTAATACTCTAGCTAGTAGTGCTTTCTGCAATGTTATGGGCAAGTAATTCTTAAACTACTTTAACTGCAAATAAACAAATCAATAATAATGAAGTACTAAAAAAGACAGAATAAACTCTGGGTTTTTAACACAGATATATAAAGACATATGTATACAACTGTGTGTACATACGTTCACATGTACACACATACACACATGTATTTTCTAGCTTTGTTCACTGAGAGATACGAAAAGCAACGAGATATCTGGAGCAACGAGCACAAGTGTCAGCCAGATCTTGGTTTCTAAATACTCTTCTCCAACAAAAGCCAGCAGGTTTCATTAGAGGAAAGGCTGACTCCAAGTTTTGGAAAGGGAATGTATAAGATGAGCATGTAGCATCTTGTACTTCAAGTGATTTTATGTTTTCCTTTTCTTCCTCCTTGCGAGAAAATATTATATAACATTTCTATGTGCAAAAAGTATTTAAAACCAATGTATACAAGAACACTGAAATAACAACACTATTCTCTTTCCATAAAGTGTGAGGAATACAAAATACATCAACTGACAAATAAATGAGAAAACCAATACTGCCTGGGCAGTTTTCTCACCATGTCCCTCAATACATATATTTAAAAGAAAAAAATTCTGAGGCTTTAATAGGTATCCCATATATCCAATGCTTAAAGACAATAAATATGAAACAATACATAGTCCATGCCTTGAAAAAACCTGAATTCAAAAAACATTCACTGCATACTTACCATGCAGGCAGCACTCTGTACTGTGGAAGATACTAACTGAATAAGAAATAATGTTTGCTTTTTAGGAGCTTAAAATACAGTTGTTCATATGAAACTTAAACTATTCAAAAATGTCAATCCGACTACAGCACAATGAAATGTAGTTTAGTTTTGAGCCCTGACATTAAAATGTTTCATTAAGAATTCAACCTCAGGCCGGGTGCAGTTAGTTGCTCACGCCTCGAATTCCAGCTCTTTGGGAGGCTGAGGTGGGAGGATGGCTTGAGGCCAGGAGTCCAAGACTGGCCTGAGCAACACAGCAAACCCATCTCTACAAAAAATAAAGAAATTAGGCAGGTGCGGTGGCACGCACCTGTAGTACTAGCTACTCAGGAGGCTGAGGCAGGAGGATCGCTTGAGCCTATGAGTTTGAAGTTGCAGTGAGCTATGATGACGCCACTGCACTCTGGCCTAGGCAACAGAGCAAGACCCTGCATTAAAAAAAAAAAAGAAAAAAGAAAAAAAAAATAATTCAACCTCTATTCTAAACAGTGTAAATCTAATTAGATGACATGATCATCTACATGAGATGCTAGTATTCCATTCAGTACATGCTATTCTCTTGTAAGGTCATCTCAGAACAAGGTAAAAGGGAGCTGTGTTCTTGATTCTTCTAATACTTAAAAAAAGAAAAAATTCTAAAGTTACATCAACTACCTAGGATCTCTTAACAAGTAAAGAATTATTCCTTAAATACACCCTTAAATGAAACCTCCCCCCAAATAATTAAAAAGTAAAAATATTATGATCTAGACCTGTGGTCCTCAACCCCCCCACTCCTTGGACCGGTACCTCTCCATGGCCTGTTAGGAACCCAGACCTCACAGCAGAAAGTCAACGACCTGCAAGCAACCTAAGCTTCATCTGTGTTTACAGCCACTCCCCGTTGCTTGCATCACCGCATAAGCTCCGCCTCCTGTCAGATCAGGGGCAGCATTAGATTCTCATAGGCGCTCAAACCCTATCGTAAACTGCACCTGTGAGGGATCTAGGCTTCCCACTCCTTATGAGAATCTAATGCCTGATGATCTGAGGTGGTGATGTTAGTGTTGCGGAGTGGCAGCAAATACAGATTATCATTAGCAGAGAGGTCTGACTGCACAGTAGATGTGATGCCCTCGGATCATCCTGAAACCACCCCTTCCCCACCCCTTGGTCCATGAGAAAACCGTCTTCCATGAAACCTGTCCCTGGTGCCAAAAAGGTTGAGGACCGCTGATCTAGACCATTTTTTACTTGGATGTCTCTTTAATTTTCTCTAATTCATTCCCTCTAGTCCAGAGCATGAACTATAGATGTTCCAAGTTTATTGACTAAATCGAATGAGAAATGAGAAAACACTTGAAAAATCATGATCCCTTTTTGAAAAATCTTTATTTAATTTTCTGGTAGAAGAGTAAAAGAAATTACCAAATTTACAACACAGTATACATATAATTATATCAAGTGGCACTCTATCTCAAGGATCAGAAAAGTCTGAGTAGATGAAAATGTATAAACTTGGTATATGAATCTCTGAAAGACCAGAGTTATGAAGCCTCAAGTGTTTAAAGCCTACCACATTTAAAGTTCAAACTGAAGCATATCAAAAAACAATTCAGCATTCTTTAAAGTTCTTACCACAATCATTTCTGAAGGCTCTAATACAAGACAATCACATCCTCTTTTTCCTCCAAACTGCTTACCAAAACTATAAAAACAGAAAAACAATTTCTTTAGCAAAGGTTATAAATAAAATATATCAGTACAGGAAAAAAACAAACAATAACAAAAACCACCTAGATGTTAACCAAGAAATTCTGATTTTGATGCTATCACTTATGTCAATAAAATTAGGTTTTCTTGGGGAGGGGGAAAAAAACTCCCCTCTTAATTGTTAAGATAAACAAATCTCAATATAGTGCTATATGAAACTTCTTTATAAATTTTTGCCTTTAATTAGTCCCTAAAATTAGTTATAAAAGATACTTGCCTAATCTTAAATTTTGAACATCTGTCATAATATATGTTCAATCAAAGAAAAGAAAAAGCATGGCTAATAAAAAAAAAGTGATACCATGATTACACAATGTTTTATAAAAGTAAATTATCATACTCTTTTGGGAACAGTATTAAGAAAACAGATTAAAAGAATCTTTAAAAATATTCACATTGTAGTGCGGTAGTGCTTTATTATCTGATGGGGATTGGTCCAAGGACCCCCACAGCTACCAAAACCCACAGATGCTCAAGTTTTACTGTCTAAATGCTATAGTATTTGAATATAACCTATGCACATCCTACCATAGACTTTAAATCATTTCTAGATTACTTATAGAACCTAATACAAAGTAAATGTTATGTAAATAGTTGTTATACGGTATCATTCAGGAAATGACAAGTAAAAAAAGTCTGCACATTTTCAGACTTCTTTTTCCTGGATGATTTTGATCTGCATTTGCTCAAACCCACAGATGGGAAACCCGTGGATATGAAGGGCCAACTGCATATAAAGAATGTAGTTAGATACACAGATGATTTATTTTAAAAAAGTGTTGGAACCACTGGCTATCTCTTTTAAAAAAACCTAAAGCTGGATCAGTACTAAAATAAAATGTATTTTTATATTCTCAGTTTGAGAAAAAGATTTCTAAGCAAATCAAAAAAGCAAGCAAGCAGGCTGGACGTGGTGGCTCACACCTATAATCCCAGCACTTTGGGAGGCCAAGGTGGGAGGCTCACTAGAACCCAGGAGTGTGAGATCAGCTTGGGCAACACAGTGAGATTCTCTATAAAAAAAGAGAGAAAACTTAGCTAGGCATGATGGCCCATGCCTTGTAGTCCCAGTTACATGGGAGGCTGAGGTAGGAGGATCGCTTGAGTTCAGGAGTTTGAGGTGAGGTTGTAGTGAGCTATAATGATGTCACTGTACTCTAGCCCAAGTGACAGAGTGAGACTGTCTCAAAAAAAAAAAAAAAATCAATCATAAAGAAAAAGATCCAGTTTTCATTTTAAAAGATACACTGAATTTTTTTAAAAAAGGCAGAAATAAAAAAAACCCTGCCAATTATATAAGACACAAGAGCTGCACACTCACATTAGTGGGCACTTAAATTATAAAGCAACCTAAAATACCAAAATTTTGAATATTTGGTACCAGTGATGCAAGCAATGGGGAGTGGCTGTAAACACAGATGAAGCTTAGCTTGCTCGCCCACCGTTCACGTTCTGCCGTGAGGCCCAGGTTCCTAATAGGCCATGGACAGGTACCTTTATTAATGTTCCCGAGCACATGGGATGAGAGGCCTTGGAATCGTCCTGGGAACTCTCTTCGGTGGACACGAGGTCCATCAGCATTCTAGTCATAGCTCTAAGCTCCTCCTGGATATCTGAATTCCAGCAGAAAGTGATGCTAGACTCTCAGATTGCTACAGGGTAGCCTGAAAAGAACTCTATAGCCCAGAAAGAGCCTGAAAACCCAGATCCCAACTAAAGATTTCTTAACACATAGCACCAAAAGCACAGTCCATTGAAAGAAAAAAAATGAGAAAGCAGATATCAAAATTAAGTACTTCTGCCTTTTAAAAAACAGTTAATAGATGGAAAACACAATCCAGATAGGGAGACAATGTCTGCAAATCACATACTAAAGGACTTGTCTAGAGCACACACACAGAGCTTCTAAAACACAAAAATAAGAAATTAACCATAACTTCCTCAAAAATGGGTAAAAGACTCAGAGGCACTTCATAAAAGATATACAAATGACAAAGCACACAAAAATACACTCACCATCATTAATCTTTAGAAAAATGTAAATTTAAACCACAATCAGATACTACCACATACGAATTAGTATATGCAACTTCAATAGACTGACCTTACCCCTAAGTGTTAGTGAGGATGTGATCTGCAACAACTGGAACTCTCATACACCGCTGATGGGAATGTAAAATGGCACAACAACTTTGGAAAAGAGTACGGTACTTTGTTAAAGGTTAAACGTGGATCTACCGCATAACCTAGTCATCGCTAGATATTTATTCAAAATACATGAAAGTATGTGTTCACATAAACACTTACCATCCACCCATTCTACTCCTACATATTTACTCAGACATATTTATGTGGACGTATTTATGTCCACATAAAGACTTCTACTCAAACATTGACAGCAGCATTCTTTGCAATAGTCAAAAACAGGAAACAACCTAAATGTCCATCAGTAATTGAATGCTAAACAAATAGCGGCATATCCATACTAGAGAGTAACATAATCATAAGGAATGAAATATTGAGACACATAACAACATGGATAAACTCAAAATAATTTTACTGTATATTAGAAGCTGGATGAGAAAAGAGTACATATTATATGTTTCTCCTTATACAAAATTCAAGATGTAAACTAATTTAGGTTGACAAAAGAATCAGTAATTGGGGACCAAAGAAGGGAGAGGGAAGAATGGGAGGGAGGGTGTACAAAGGAGCACGAGGAAACTTTTTCTGGGGAGACAAGGTCATTATCTTTGTAACAGTGGTGGTTTTACAGGTGTCTACATATGCAAAACCTTATTGTATACTGTAAATATGTGCAGTTTAGTGTATGTCAATTATACCTCAATAAAGTTGTTTTAAAAAGATGTAAGAAAATGAAAACGTAAGCCAAATTAATGGGATAAAATATGGGCCAAACAGCTTCATCCTGAATGCATTAAAGATTTTTACAGAATAATAATAAACACAAAAAATACAACTTTAAAACAAGCACACACACAAGAAAACACCTTAAACAGATACTTCACAAAACAGAGAAAGCAATAGCCAACAAGCATAAAGGACAGTGTTTGACATCATTATTCATTAAAAAAAATGAATTATACCATTACATTATACCACACTCAAAAATCAATTCCAGGCAGACTATAGACCTAATAGTAAAATGAAAACAAGAAAAACTATTTCTACATCTCTACATCTCGATAAGAAAAAGACAATTCATTAGGAAAATGGAGAACAGACCTAAAGAGTCACTTTACAAAAATGGTTATTTTAATGAAAATGTACTTACTCAGTAGCAATTAGCAAAATGTAAATCCAAACTATAGTGAAACACCATTATAGGCTCAACAGAATGACTAAAAATTAGGCAGTCGAAAACTTAAAACTAAGAAGACTGACAATATTAAGTACTGGTGAGAATGTGGAACAATGGGAATTCTTACATCCTGCTGGTGGATGTGTAACTTAGTCCATCGTTTGGAATACAACTTGGAATTAATGAATATAGGCACATCCTGTGAGCCAATTTACTGCTAGGTATGCTCAGCAGAAATATGTGCACGTGTGCATCTAATACACGGAAATGTTCACAGATGCTTTACTTATAATAGCCCTCAACTGTGCTAACAATAAAATACTAAGTAATGAGAATGAATTAACTGTAAGTATATGCAACAACATGAATGAATTCAATAAACATAATGTTGGGTTAAAGACATACACAAAAGAATACTATAAGATTATATTCACATTATGTTCAAAAGTAAGCAAAACCAAACAGTGTTAAGGTGTGCCTATCCACAGGCTTGAATGGAAATTCATGCTCTCTGGGGGCAGTAGGAGTGGATTTGAGAACAGACATCATGCAGGCTGCTTCTGGGTGCTGACAATGTTCAATTTCTTGATCTGGGTAGTGATTAAGCAAATGTTCGATGTACACTAAAACTCACTAAAATGTACATTTATGTTATCTGCACCTCGCCCCATATATTTCACAATAAAAGAGCTGAAACTACTGAGTGCTGGAGCTCAGAAAATATTCCAAAGTATGGCACTTTGGCATGCTGAGTTCTTTGAATTAAAGGATACTGGAAGGACTCAGAAGCAAATTCTCTCTGATCTTCTCTTGCCCTCTTGTCTTCTGCTCCTCTTTCTCTGCTAAGGAGAGTCATAGAAACCAGAATTCCTCCTCCCTAAGGAGGGTCATAGCAAGTAGAACTCCTCTACCCCAAAGCAAGCCATAAAACCTAGAAAGGTTACTCTCTTCCTTCTCCCTTGAAGACCCTCATTCCAGAGGGGTCCTGCCCCATACCTACAAGAAAGGAACGTAGCATACAGAGGCCAAGAAGATTCTAGACAGACAGGCCTTGCTGGGTCTCCCCCTTGGTCTATTACCATTAGATCATAGCCTTTTGTCCAATCACATTTCCACAGAGCTGTCCATTCTTCATTGAACGTACACATAAAAACATACAGTTCTCCCGGGGTCCTTGGGTCTTCATTTCTGAAGGCTCCCATGTCACACAAAACTTCGATTAATTAAATTTGTATGCTTTTCTCTTGTTAATCTGTATTTTGTTATGAGTGTGTCAGCCACGAACCTTGCCATGGGTGAGAAAAAGATATTACATTTTCTCCCCTACAATATTAATAAAAGTGAAAATAATACTCCTTAAAGTACAACTTGTTTTACTATCTTGACTTTTCAATGGTATGAATTTATTGCTTTGTCAAAAAAAATTATTTAAGAAGTATGGCTTTATCATTGACCAGCCTTTAAAAAAAAAAAAAAAATTATGGCGTTAGAAAATGGACAATGCTATTTACCTATCACCTTTCCCAACCTCAACGACTAGCACAGGGTGCCTTACAGGCACTCAATGCTTTCTAGATGAATCAATACCTTGGTGCTTGAGTTATTCTGACTGA